GGACATTACCAAAACAAAAAGGAAAGAAGTATTTTTAGTAAATTGGGTTGTCACTGCTCCTATGTAGCTGAATGTCAGAAACTTGTCTCAGGGACTTTTTTTGCTTTACAGAACTTCTGTAACAGAGAAACATGAGTGAAAAAGAGCCATTCTGCTTCCTGGAGTGGAACAGCTCCAGCTGTATCAGTGATACCTCTGACTTTTCTTCCAGATCATAGAGGGTGATCTGTTTGCATTCCTCAGAAAGAAATTCTCATGGGATGTTTGCCTAAGTTTGTGCTGCTTAACAATGTTAATGATAGCTCCCAATATGTTTGTTTCAGATTTTTCTCATGTACAAACCCAGCTTGCTCAAAACCAATTACTGAAACTAATGCTTAAGAAATTCCTAATGCATAGTTTTATTGAAAAACAAAACTCTAAGTAATTTTTTTTTCAAAAAGTGACTGTAAGAAAAGCAGTCTTCTTTGAAAAGCAAAGGGAAGAACTGATGTGAGAATAATTTAGGAAATGTTTTCCTTGAAGCTTCCCACATCCATCTCTTTTTAAGTGAAAGCACAAAGTTTCAAGTTTTCTTTAATGACTTTTGAAACACCATTTAGTAGAAAAACAGCTCTAGGTTGCATAAGTAATAATAGTCCTGCATGTAAAAGTACTTTTGGATTTCTTCATATTTAAAAAAAAGCAAAGATAAGTCTATAATATCCAAATATACAAACAAATTGGTATTGAGATGTTCCTTCTATGTTTCCCACCAAGGACATGATGTAAGCTTTTTGGGAATTATTGAATAATTGTACTTTGTAATACAAGAGCTGGCCAGCACTTAAACATTCACCACCTTGATAAACTACAGCTGTGGGGGCCCATCCTAATGCTCACAAGAGTTCTTCCTGAGGCTTTGGCCAAATTTACTGGAATCCAGGGGGTCTGCACTCCTCCAACAGCAGGGAATTCCTTCTGTGCCCTTGGGTTACCATGCAGAGGGAGATGAGATTGGAAGTGCCCTCCTTGCACAGATGTGCACAGAGCCAGCTGTTCACAGCTCTCCCCTGCTGCTCTGCTCAGGAGGGCACTGCCCCGCTCTGTGATCAGCTCCCTGCTCCTTTTCCCCTGCCTCAGGCACAATTTCCATTCCCACAGGGCTGGCACAGGCAGTGGGCAGCTCCCACTCTGGCCTGGAGCTTGCAGAGATCTTGTTACTATCAGTAATAATACACTGAAGATTATTTCCTTTGGGTTGCACTCCACTAAAGACTTGCTTGTTTATTTTCTTTTGATACAAACTTTCTGTGGCAAAAAAAGAGCTGCGATTTTTAGAAGCTAAATTTCTCCAGAGCTAATTGGGTTCATTTTTAATTCAGCTGGCACATAAGACACTTGTAAAAAAAGGTGATTTCCAATGGCATGCATTGAAGTGGGCATCCCTTTTCCAAAGGTTGTCAGTGGCAGTTTAATTTCTTCTTTTCAGCTTTGAAAGCATCCCCTCTTTGGGCTGCTTTTTACTTGTAAGACTAAGGCGCATCTAAACAATAATTCCTTTATTCAGGTTAAGGCATTATTCCAGCATGTGCTGGAGATTCAGATTGGAAGTCTTATATCAATTCTGACAAAAACTTGATTTTTTCAGACACCCTTTTCTTTTTCAGAAACCTAATTAATTCAAGCACAAATTACATCTAAATGCAAAACGCAACTTGCTAAGAAATGGTATGGGTTGGAATAATTTTTAATGTCTCTTTCTCCAAGGTTAACAGTACTGTTTCCCATATAACCATGCATGTAATACCTGTCTTACAGTTTGAAGAGATCATAACACTTCTCATTTACTACTATAATTGTTGGAGGTTTTTACACAAGAGTACTCAGTAGGGTACTCAGTCTTTGGGGAGAAAATTCCCTTATTGCAGTTAGATGACGTCAATTTTTCAGAATGCCTGTAAAGAGTTGCCAAATTATGTTTTACAAGAAAAAATTCTCATAGAAGAGCACTTTGAAGTTATTTTTGCCACTTATACCTTTGTCTTTTGTGAGTTTTCTTTGACACCTAAAGAGGCTGGAATTAATAAAATAAGATCAAAGGATTGCATGGCTTAGCAACCCCAAATCCTCTGTGCACTTTTCCAGAGGTGAAAAATTGGTGTCAAGAAAAAGACAGAACAACTCATGTACAAATCATACCTCTAAGAGCTCTTTTTGTATTGAGGCACAGGATTCACTGTTTTTATCCCCTCTTTTTGCACGTGTTGTCCTTCAGCGTTTCAGCAGGAGTAGGGTACAGTCTGTCACAATTCATGTTCCCCCTCCCTGCGTGACTGAGAGCTCATGGTGTGCCTTGCAGACCGAGCTCCCTGAGCCTTGCCCTTGCAGCCCCACAGCACACAGGGTGTTCTGGCTGCCAGCCTGGCACTTGGGCTTGTGCTGCTGCAGGCTGGGGCTGTGCTTGGCTGGAAAGCTCCGTCAGTGCAGCCAAGCACAGCTAAAGCAGTGACAAGTGGGTCCCCTCGTGCAGAGCTTCCTCCGCCGATGAACAAGAGTGGAATCTGCCATCTGCTTCACCTCAGCATGGCAGCAGGCCAGAGCTAAAAATTCTGCAGTTTCTGAGGTGTCTGCCACATAAAATAACCTCTTGGAGGAAGGAGATGCCTGAGCACTTTCTTCCTTGGTGTCCCCAAGTGTCCCTGGCTGCAGAGCATCCTGCACCCTTTAGATGTGGTTCAGCACACACGGGTGCTGCGCGCAGCCAGCCAGGCACATCCCAGCAGGGACAGCCCCTCCTGCTTTGGGAAGGTGGAAGGTGGTGCTGCACAGCCTGGCTGGCAGGGGGCAGCTCCTGGGGCTGTTTGCAGGGGGTTTTGCAGTCCCCCTGGGCACACTGCCTGTCACAGCCAGCCCTGGTGATGCTGGAAGCAGCAGCAGCAGCAAACACTTCCTCATTGCTGAACTGCTCTCCTGATTTTGAGTTTCTGGGCTGCCATGGGCCTTGCAGAACAGGTTCCCAGTACAGCCACTTGTCAGGCTGGTGTCTGACACAACAGCCCACGGTGTGGCATGTTCAGATATCCTTTTGTTTATCCCATTCTTTTTTTTTTTTAATTGCTGGCTCTGGTGTGTGCTGCTGGTGCTGTGCTCCTCCTGGGCTGGCCAGCACCTGCAGATGTGCCTTGCCCCTCCAGGACTGCCTTTCCATAGCAAGGAAGGAAGTTCCTCACCTGCCAGCAGTTGCTGCATCACAACTGATGTGGACAAGGCATGATGGCAAACGCTGCCACAGGCACTGCAGCTCAGCTTGGAAAGGCTGCAGAGGACTTTTTTTATGAAGTCTTTTATAGTGGGATTCATCTCTCTTGACTTTCTGTTGCCAAAAGCTGATCTTGGCCTTTCCCAGCCATATCTGGAGCTCATCCCATCTCCTACCTAAAGTAAGTATCTAGAATAGATCAAAGGACACATGCCTTTGGAAATGCTTCTTTTCCCTCCTCTGACTGTAAGGTGAGCCTGGCTGAGTGCCTCATCTGGATGTGTCTGCACTGAATCCATGTGGGGCTGCCTTGGGAGTGGATATCGCCATGTGTATGCCAGGATCACCTGAATCACGTCCCCTAGAGACAAACTTCTGACAAGAATAAATAGGGAACCCATTGCTAATGTTCATACATTTTTTTCCTGCTAGCTTTGCAATACTGTAATAGTTAAAAGCAGTTCAAATACATGTTGCAGTATGTATAATTTGACATTGTCAGATGATGCAAAATCTGTTTCATTCTAATGGTATTCTGGTAAATGAATCTAAGATTTTAAAAGATTTTAAAAATTTAAAATAATAAAGGCATTAAGAAGTAGGTAAAGATAAATGTTTTTCACCTGAGTAAAAGTATGCAAATGAGACTCAATTTATCTAAAGAATAGGTTTGATGAATTTCCCATATTCTGAACTCTTTTAAGAGAAAGTGAGTTTCAATATGTACATTGTTCCCTTCTATTAAAGCTAAATTAATTAAACAAGAAATCAGCATTAAACAGTAATGCAGGAACACTACATTAAAATGATCATAGAAAATAACACTTCGTCCTCTTGCAAATATTCTTATGAAATGGTAGAAATAAGTTGTGTTTTCATTTGCTCAATGAGGGCAAATATAGAGAGCATATAGTTGTGCTGGTAAAACAGAGAAATTGAAACTTTAAATTAAGACCCATAATAAATCAATGCACATATAATGATCACAGTAAAACGTAAAATTCTATCAAGCCAAATCCATTAACAAGTGCAAACATGGCAGATAAAATGACTGTCTGCGGTTAACCTGCAAGCTTCAGGGGGCAATGAGAGGGAGCTTGCATATTCCTGTACTTAGCAAGTATATAACTTCTTTTAGCTTTAATAATTTTTTTTTTAGTTCTGACTAAAGGTTATGATTCCATAACTCATAAATAATCGAGTTCATTAAGTCTTTAGCAAATCCCTTAGTGTATTTTTGTACAGAAGTCGACAATCAAGGCTCTGCGTGCAAACCACTGGATTGGGGTGAACTGCATGTCACTGCATTGGAGTTGTGGCACAGAGGGCTCATCCCCAAAACTGGCAGATGTCCATGAGCTGTTCATGCCCTCCCAGGAGCTCAGCCACCCCTTGGTGTCTCTGTGACCCTCCTCCAAGGCACCAGGGAGTGAGAGCTGGGAGGCTCCAGGTGCTTGGGGAAGCTGAGCCTGCACTCCCAGGGCTCTCGTGCCTGAGCTGAACCATTCCATGCTCGTTGGGTGGATGGCAGGGAGCTCCCTTTGAGACGTGGTTGATGCAGCTCCAATGTTTAGAGATCAGAAGGAAAAAAAAAAAAAAAGAAAGGAAGAGTGAAGAAAACAAGTTGTTCCAGCAGCCGGGAGAGGCTGGCACTGGTGCAGGTAGGCTGCCAGAGCAGGGGCAGCACCAGACCTGCCTCCTGCACAGCTCCCGCACCTCTGACGGGGAGCAAGTTTTGCAATCACCATAAGAAGGAAATCCAAGGTTTAAGAGCCATGTGGTGAGGTGCTCCACTTGTGGGAGCAGGCTGTGTCACAGCTTTGGCTGTGACGCTGTGCTGGCTCCGAGCCTGGAGCCCGGGGCACGGGAGAGAACCAGCCTGACACCGCTCTGACACACAGTAAGTGCCTGCTCTGTCCCTCCTCCCTGCTCCCTTCCATTGCTGGTTACCCTGGTTGTTTGTTCAGTTGTGAGCTCCCAGTGCAGCCTTTCTGCACATCTCGCTGTCACTAAACTTGAAAGGCTTTAAGGTACAATTATGAAAATTCAATTTATTTTTTTTTAAAGGATAAGTGCTGTCGCTCCCATTGGGAGCAGCGTATTTTATCCCTCCGTAGAAAAACTATCCATTACTCCTAATTTATTAATTAAATATTTTATCATTTTTCTTGCTTAATTTTAAATACCACTGGTGTCAATGATTCACTGGTTTGCCAAAGTTCAGATTCTCGTAGAGTGGTTATGGAAAATGTGATTGCTCCATTAGGCATAAGAGAAGTGTTTCTAAAATTTACCATTTTCTATGAGTTTCAGGTAGATTATCAGTCTGGCACCACAAAAAAATTTAAAATTTGATATATTGAAAAGAAAACCACGTCACTGATTGAGATCCTGTTTATTTACCAGAGTCAGATGTTTCACAAAGTTAATCATCAGCAAAATACAAATAAATATAGAATGTATTTGCTTTAGAGAACTGTGTCTTTGAACTCCTATCCTGTAGGGACTGGGGTAAGTCTGACTTCACCATAATCTAATTATCTATAGCTTACTTTTGAAACTTTTTTTTTTTTTTAATTTAGAAGCTGCTGAAGGTGGTCTAAGGAAGGTTAGGCCCCTTTAGAAATTTCATATGGAGCTTAGTCTGAAATGTGCTTGCTTTTCACAGTCCCCTCCTACTGGAGTAGGATTTGGAACTAAAACTTACAAAAATCAAGTTAGAGTCCTTATGAGGCTGTATATCTTTTTATGAGACATTAGTGCCCATTTTCAGTGGTTAGGAGGAACTTCTAGGGGATTGTTGCGTTTCTAAGCTTGCTGTCCTTTCTGGCATAGGTGGGCATTTCCCAGGGAACCCAGGTAGCCCTGGGCATCTTGCTGGTGACAGAGGAACTCCTCAGAGGAACCTGGTGATGTTTTTGGGGTGTCCAGTGACCCTGCCACATCCCTGTGGGGTGTCCTGGGACCCTGCCACATCCCCACAACCTCGGTGCCAAAAATCCCCCACAGCACCTGAATGGGCTCCACTCATGGGTCAGTTGGCCTCAGGGCCTGCAGGAGGGAAACCTGGAAAGGTCCCATGTGGCTGAAACAGCGTGGCATGTTTGAGATTCCAGTGTCTTGTGGGAAAAATGTTACAGGCCAATTTCTTGATATATTCTATACTCCTTTAATATATGTGCATATGTGTATATAGGAGCTAACTGGTTGATTTTGGTACTGTTGCACCAGTTTTCCAACTGACAAACTTGGAAGTTTTTTAAAAACTTATTATCATTCCAGATATCTCAGTATTAGCTACTTTCCCCTGATCAGCTTAATCTACACCAGCTAACATAACTGACTCCTTGAATCAGAGCCAGCTTTTAAACTTAAAAGTTTATCAGTTTTATTAAAATATCTACATTTATCATCTGTCCTGCAGAAACTTCTGAAGCCTTATGAGCTTACAGATAGTCATTATTTGTTTCTTTTAATCAGTGCTCTCTTTCCCCTTAATACATCTTTATCTACCATGCTGCTCACCCTGTTTTCTCCTCTGTCATCATTTCTGGTCTGAGTCTACAAAGATTTATCCAATAAATAATGCTATTCATTCAAATGCTGACAGAATGGTAGTGTTCACTAAGAAAATCCTCAGAAATATAATAGCAGAAGCCTACTGGATCACACCAAAGGCCCATTTATTCTGGAACATTGATCAAAAATGCATATCTCAGAAAGGATTGGCTCAAGTGTGGTGAAGGTCTTTTTCTGACAAACTGTCCCTACCTCCAGCTGCCTGGGGACTTTCCTTTTACACAGAGATTTCTAAAGATCTTCAGTGAGTTATCTATAATTTTTCCATCTGTCCAAGAAAGTCCTGGAGCCTTTTAGAAAGCAGATGTGACAGATCAGGCGCACCAGTCCTTAATTAGTCGCAGTAGTTACTTTGAGCACTCTTTAATGAATGTTCAAAGATGAGAAAAGATTCAATGTGCAGATATCTCAAGCAGTGTTTCACCACTGAGTATGTCTGAAAAACATTGGAAATGCAGTTCTTATGCCAATAATAGTTAAACATAGCAATATTTTTCAAACAGGAGACCTTTCAGACCTGGGGAAGGAAAACCATGGACAGACCAATCACTGCTGGCCAGCTTAAAGAAAAATCCCTGTTCCAGGACAGCGATGGCAGTGCAGCTCCTGCCAAGACTCTGTGCCATAACTGTTCAAAGCTAAAGGTATGGAAGAGCCCCCACCACATATTTTCCCTGGAACACTGAATTTTCATTTGAAGTCCTATCAAAACTCAGTTATGTATGGCACTGTTTGGTGCTATATGTGGTGGGGAAAATGCTCTGGGCTGCATCCATAGGGGGTTGGAAGGGATTTGGGCAGCAGGGAGGGAGAGACTCTTCCCTGCCCTGCTGAAACAACACCTGCAGAGCTGCCTCCAGCTCTGGGGTCCCAGCACAGGAAGGACAGGGAGCTGCTGGAGCCAGCCCAGAGGAGGGACACAGAGGGAAAGGCTGCAGAATTGGGGCTGGAGAGGAGAAGGCTCAGGGCTCACCTCCTTGTGGCCTTCCAGTACCTGAAGGAGTCAACAAGAAAGATGAAGAGAGAATATTGACGAGGGGGAATGGCTTCAAACTGACAGAGAGTGGGTTTAAATGGGATATTAGGGAGAAATTCTTCACTGTGAGGGTGGTGAGGCCCTGGCACAGGCTGCCCGCAGAATCTGTGGCTGCCCCATCCCTGGAAGAGTCCAAGGCCAGGCTGGATGGGGCTCTGAGCTACCTGGTCGGGTAGAAGGTGTCTCTGCCCATGGCAGGGGGTGATCTTTAATATGATCTGAAGGTCTAAAGATGATCTAAAGATGACCTAAAGATGATGATCTAAAGATGATCTGTTAAGATCCCTTCCAACCCAACCCATTCTTATTCTGTGGTTGTGATTCCAAGCATACAGAAGTTAAATATGCTCAGAAGTTGAAAAATGAGGCCATATTTTGCGAACAATTCATTTAGAGGTGTGCTATAGTCACAGTAGTAATTGCAGATATATATTTTTACTCATGTTTTTTAGAACAGGAGAAGGAGAGGTAATAAGATATAAGTACCAGATATGAGTATGTGATATAAGTGCCAGAAATAAGCAACAAGTTTTTCCTAAGGAAGAAGTTTTTCCTATGGAAAACTTCAAGTTTTTCCTAGGGAAGGAAACAGCTGGACCAGTATGTACTAGAAAGTTAGAAGGTGCATACCATCAATGTCAATTTTCCTTTTCTTTGAAGAAGCAGAGGTTTTGGAGGCCACCCTAAAAAGAGAAAGTAAAATCTGTTTTAATTATAACAATAGGCAGATTCTCCTCATAGAGAATTAGAAAGCAAAGCATATGATTTTTGTGCTTCTTGACTGGGTTGCTCAGGCATCCAGCTGTAAAGCAAAAACTGTTACTTTGTAAACTCAATTATTTTCTCTCTTCAGATATTTCTTGGAGCTCTAGCTTTTACCTTTTTTGCCAAAGGATTGTCTGGAAGCTACATGAAGAGCATGTCCAGTCAAATTGAAAGGAGATTTGAAATCTCATCATCAATTGTTGGCATCATTGATGGCAGCTTTGAGATAGGTATATGTACTTCAAAAGTGGATCAGTGCTTCCCAGTACCCTTTCACCCCAAAAAACCTATTTTTTGTGCTTGCTCTCTCTCCTGTTGATGCAGGTAACTTGATGGTGATGGTGTTGGTGAGCTACCTTGGACCAAGAGTTCATAGGCCAAAAATAATTGCTGTTGGGTGTCTCATCATGTCTGTAGGAGCTTTTTTGTCAGTGATGCCTCAGTTCCTAATGGGACGGTAAATATAGAGACTTTTCATGTTGTGCACTAATGGAACTTGATCATACAAAATGTTTTTTAAGGCATGCTTCTGAGTTAAAAGCCTGGCAGTAGTTGTTTCTTACAGCTATTCCGACAAGAAAATGGGTGGATTTTTAAATACTGGCTTTCTGATTTCCTCTCTGAAAGCTTACCTCTTGCTACAGGTAAACAGGAGACAAAGCACAGATTTCTACAGAACTTATGCATAACTAAGGATAAAGTGGGTTAAATTTTTCACCTGGGATGGATAGAAATAGAAATAGAATTTTTAAAACTGTGTTTCCTTTTTTATATTTAAGCGAACTGTAATTAGATCTTGGTGGTAAAGGTTTCTTTCTCCATGGTGACTACTCATGATAACCCCTTTAAAATGCTGAAGGTTTTAATCTAAACTTGGGGAGAATTAAATGTCTAAATACCCCATCCCCATTTAAGATATAACACATAATTGTCAGATGCAGGTCCTACCCTTCCAATCCTTTGGCATCCTTGCATCTGCCACAAAGGTAAGAAAGAGGTGCCATAATGGAAATACACAGATGTTGATGAACTCTGCCTCTGTCCTGCACTCTGAAAAATGATCTGTGAGGGCAGATTTGTTGCTCTTTATCTCAGGAAAATATTAGGAGCATTTGAAAATGGTATGGAGATACCCATTTTTTTTGAGCAAAGCACTGGGAATGGGGTCCCCTTTACTTTGTGTGCCTGAGACAGGAATGAACACATGTGAACAGGGCTCAGACACGCTTCCTGCAGAGCAAAGTCCTTCATGTGTCAGTTGTATTTCACACAGTTGTTTTCCAGTTACAATTATGAAAGGATAACTGTTAGTGTGGACAACTCCTCCACGAGTGTGTCAGCTTGCTCCCCAGAGTCTGGGGGCCCTCCAGCCACAGATGCTCCAGAAACACTCAGCACAGTGATAAATGCTGGTAAGATAAAGCTCTGACGCTGGATTCTCTTCAGCTTGTCCCTGTTGTGAACCCTTTTTTACTGGAAAGCAGTAAAACCCCTGCTAGAAACCATGATGTATATAAACCCACCCTATAATGATTGTTAATCCCCATATTTTATCTTATTTTACTGCTGCTGTAAAGCATTGACAGAATTATGTTCACAGAAATATAAATGTTTATGGTCTGCAGGATGTGAGAAAACAACAAATTCCTATCTGTGGCTTTTTGTGTTGGTGGGGAACCTCCTACGTGGAATTGGGGAAGCACCAATTATGCCTCTGGGAGTTTCATATATTGATGATTTTTCTAAAGAAGAAAATTCAGCATTTTACATAGGTAATGTACAAATGAGCCATTTTTATGCTAGATATTCTGTTCTTTAACATTTCTATAGTCAAGCAACAAAAGAAACTCAACAAAGGAAATTATCTGGTAACTTTGAGCTATACAGAGACAAAAAAACCCCAAGCAGTGCCAAAGAGATCTCATATTTATTCTCTAGGGATAACTCCAGGATGGTCTTTTTGTTTTCCCAAAGGAGCTTCTGTGATGAAGAGAAGCATAATCAAATACTCATTTCCCCAAAGTACAAAGTCATATCTGTCTTATCTGGCATATCAACTTCAGTACCACATCTTCAGAGAACCGAATTCCTTCTGATCACTATTTCACAGATAAGGGAATGATCCTGAATGTGAGGATCTCTAATGAAGTCACAATTAACTACAGCAATGTGAATGTGTTTCAGGAGCTCTTACCTGGCTTTTTGAATTTCACATTTCACTTCCAGTTGAAAGCTTTTTAAAGTCACTCTCTGGTGAAGGATAAACAACACCTTGTCAGGGTGTTGTAACAAATCCTTTCTAATTGGGGTTTAATCTTGTTTTGACGGCACATAACCTATTGCCCAAGACAGAGAGACTTACACCCAGGCTAATTAATTTGTAGGCAAACCAATTTACTGGCAAACCAATTTATTAGCATGGGATGTTTGTGTGGCCTGAAGTCAAGTTGGTGAAACTGAGCTGGTCAGAAAGACATTAAGAGACAGTTTCAGGAAGAGCACAGCATGTGATGCTACAGGGTAAGGCCATGGCCAATGTCTTCATTTGGGAATGAGGAAATCTGCAGGGTGAAGAAAATGCAAGAACTGTGTCAAAAGCAAACATTCCACTCAGCAGTTATCCAAAATATTTGTAATCTCCTCTGAGACTTCTGATTGAAGGTATTTTAAAAAGTTTAGCTGAATTTTGTTCTTGTCAGAATTTAATGTGGGAGAGATTGAGACAGGTTGGGGACTACTGAGCAAATGGGATCAAAAAGATAAAGTAAACATGGATTCAGCCAAAATGGAAATTCATTTACACCAGAGAAATAAAATATTTAGTTTGCAGTTTATAAAATATTTCATTTTTACATTCAGAATAGCAGTTTTCAGTCACTTATTTCATTTTGGTGGACTGAACCACTTTGTAAAAAAAGTAGAAGTTGAAACAGCCTTTCTATGGAACAGGACTTCCTTTTCTTGGCTAACTTTAATTATTTTCTGAATCTTATTTTTCATCATCTGGTTAAATCAATTAATAATCAGTGTTCTTTTAAGCACAAGCATAAAAAATAAAGTCCTATAATGAAAAGGTCAGTCAAGCCTTGCTGATGAATTTTGAGCATTAATCTTGCTGTTTTACCCTGAACAAGAAGTTTCAGCTTTGTCTCTCCTTTTTCCTTTGTCCTTTAATGTTTTGTTGAGTAAGAACATAAATTATTTTGAGGCAGAGACAGCATTTTCTTAATGGAATGAACTAAAATAATTTTGGTAGAGTTGTGGTGACAGCAATAACACTAGAGTTGCCATGGGAAGAAACAGAAAATTTAGCATATTTGTTAAGCTGTAACAATTTATTACAGAAGTTCTGGGTGATAAACTGAGCAATCGCTACATTCAGAACAGAGTTTGCAAAACCAACTCTCTCAGGAGGAAAATCTCTGCAGTAGAACACAAAAGGATTTACAGAGCACAGTGCTGGATGTGGGCAAGAACTCGCAGACATTTGGTGAAGAATTCCTTCTTTTCTAATGGAATGAATCCTTCTGCAACTTCAAGATGTCAGCTCTGCACTGGAATTCAGGAATCCAAATTACTGAGTTGTAGTTTGATCCTATTACCTGCTCACAACAAAATTTCAACAGAGCAACACAAAGTGGCGAGGGAGTGTGAGAACCTATGCTTGAATTATTTAGAGGATATTTTATTTTATTTTTTGTTGATTGCCACTAGTGGTAACCAAAATCAAATTGTGCTTTATTTACACATCAGGTCAGCAAAATGCAGTGTGGGTTTCTGGCAGCCTTCATTTGCTCCTAGGGGCATCTCCACCTCAGCTGTGCTCAGGGCAGCTCACACCTCAGGACATTATGCAATGCCCTGCTCCTTCCTCTCTCATTTCCTTGCCCTCAGAGAGGAAGGCTTGCCTTGCCCATGCAGTTTTTTGCTGTCTCCCTTCTCCTGCAGGCCTGGTGAGATCCTCAGGCATGTTTGGGCCAACGCTGGGCTTCCTGCTGGGCTCCTTCTGTGCCAGCCTCTGGGTTGACGTCGGCGTCGTGGACATTGGTGAGGGACCATGGCCACCACCGTGGGGTGGCACATCAAGCCAGAAGGTGTCTGGGTGTAGGAATCCCCATGCCAAGAAGCACCTTCCCACCTCATTGCCACCAAAACAGGAGCTCTCTTGAGAGATTTTCCTGCTCAGAAATGGAGGGTTTAAAATCAGGCGTTGTAGCGTGGTTGGAATAGCCCTTGTAAAATCCCCACTGTTTTATTTATGTTTGCACACACACTTGTTACACCCTTGCTGTGCAGCTGAGAACAAATGATTAATTGAATAAAAGGCCAACCCCCTCTTGAGGGAACAGTGAAAGGCTCTTGGATATTTTCAACACCTAGCAAAAACTGTGTTCTCTTAAAAAGCACACAGCAAAGATTAATCTCAAAACTCATGCTGTTCAAATCACTTAAAAGTCTCTAATCCCAGGGGAAAATTGAGGAAATTTGGGGAAAAACTGTAGAGTTTGGGGATGGAGAAGGAGGGCACTCTGGGAAATTGAGAAAGGGAAGGGTTGGGGTTATTTTTGTGGTAAAGATCCTTTTGCTCATTCCCCCAGAGAGTATTGGAGGATTGTGGCAAGGAAATGCCACCATGGGCCTGAATGGACACATCTATTTTTGACTGCATGGGACTGATTCCCTTCCAGGGATGTGTCTTTCACAACTTAGGAAACACAGAGAAGCTGTGGCTGCGCCATCCCTGGAAGTGTCCAAGGCCAGGCTGGATGGGGCTCTGAGCAACCTGGGGTAGTGGAAAGTGTCCCTGCCCAAGGTAGGGGGTAGGACAAGATGTTAAAGGTCCCTTCCAACATAAACTTTTCTATGAGTTTATAATTTGAAATAAGCTACATTTAAATTCTTAATATGGGACATACATGACCTCTGTTCTCTTTTTTAAATTATATATATGAGCATATACAGTATTATATAATAATCTGTACGAATTGCTCTGCATAATATTTACCCTATTTTCCTGTCTTTCTGTATTTTATAGATGCCATCAGCATAAATCCTAAGGACAGCCGTTGGGTTGGTGCCTGGTGGCTTGGATTGCTTATCTGTGGAGCTGTCAACTTCATTGCTTCATTGCCTTTCTGGTTTTTGCCCTATTCCTTACCAAAGGAAGGAGAGAATGAAAACTTGAAGATTAGTCACTTGTCTGTTCAAGGAGATCCCTGTAAAACAGAACCTCCAGCTCAGCCACAATTACAGTTCTCAGAGGCAGTAAAAGGTGAAATATTATTGCCCAAATATTTGCATATGAATTCTGTCTCATGGATTCATTGTGAGCTGAGCGTGGACTCACACAGCCTTCAGCAAATGCAGGTTTCTGTAGTGCAAACTATCGACAAAAATATCTTTAATTTGTGCTATTATAATTACATGCTAAAGGCAAGTTTCAGTCCTCTCCTGATGTCAGACAGCTGGGAAAAACTTGTGCTGCTTCTCTGAGCACCAGAGATGCTCAGTTGGTAGTTGTGAGGTGATGTATTACAGCTACAATGCCATGGTTATGAAGAGAGAGTGGGGAAAACATCCCATCCCTCATTAATGACCAATCCATAGTGGGTAGGCCTGTGTTTCTCTGAGGCAAATGTTTGGGAAGGAAACAAGAAGCTCATTATGACTACCTTAGATGTTGGAGACTCCCTGGACTTTTAGCCTCTGTGCTTGAGCTCAGGGAAGCTGAATTCATCTCATTTAGGAACCACCAGATCCAACCATGCGTTGCTTTTATTTTTATATTTTTATTATTAGACCCAAGGTTTTGCTTGTATACACGTGCACACCTACAGCAGATGTGTTTTCGGCAGCTGTGCCAAGAGCCAGACTACAGTCTAAATGCAGATGTTTATGTCCACTTTATTCTAACCAAGGGTCCCAGAAATGATTCCAGCTTTTTTGGAGGCTGGGTGCTTTTGTTTTCTAAACATCACCCTCTTGTGAGGTCCTTGTGTGGTTGGTGAGGGCTCCTGCTTTGAGAACCACATTTTACTCTTGGTGGAGAATGTTGATGCTCTGTGCAGCATTGAGGAGGTGTGCTGTGAGCCTGAGGAGCCCTGTGCCACTCACAAAATAATCCAGGATCCTGATTCCCAGCTCAGCATCCTCTGTGCTGCTCCTCCTTTCACATCAGGCACGTGTTGGCAATGAGAACTCTCACCTGGGCAATCAGGTTCTGTGATAAGCACAGAATTATAACCTGCAATGCAGCCAGCAATTAAATCCAAGTTAATTTCACTATCTAAAGGATGCCAAAACACCTCCTCTCTGTGTTTAGCAGGGTGTACAGTATTTCCTCTCCATTGCAGATTTCTTGCCAGCGCTCAGGAAGCTGTTTGGAAATCCAATTTTTGCAGTGTTCATCCTCCTCACCATTCTGCAGTACAACTCCCTTGTTGGGATAATAACCTATGAGGCAAAGTTTATGGAGCAGCAATTTAATGTGTCAGTGGCAAAAGCCATCTTCCTAATTGGTAGGTACCTGACTTATTTTCAAATTCCAGTGTCAAAAAGGAAGCTTTTATTTATTATCTTGCCTTCTGTTTTAGAAGGAGCTTATGTGAACTTTTTTTGGTTATAAAGAAAGCACGTAGTGGTTTCCTAATTTTCCTACTGTATTTTGAAAATGGACGTTAATTTTAGTGTTAATTTTCCTAGTGTTCCTAATTCACTGAGCTAGAGGATTATTAAAACTGGGTGGAAGTTTTTTCATAGTGAGATTTGGGCTGTGTATGCTTTCATGAGTAAAAACCACACATCAAACATCAGCTGAACTAAGTAAAAACTAATAGAAAAGAAAGTTTAAAATGTTTAATAAAATGTGTGATTTTTTTTTCTTTTCAGAGTAGCATGTTGGTATAAATCTTCTTTCCTTTTGATTACAAATCCAAATTTTATAAGCAATAAGAAACCAAATTATAAAAGTTTGAGTCACTTCATTAATTTCAAAGCTGTTTTTCTATTTGCCAGTTCCTTCAGAAATAAGTACTTAATAGTGTTCTGCAAAGAAAAAATGCTGAAATTATATTAATCTTACAGTGATTGATATGGTCTCATAACCTGAAAGGAAAACCAGGCTATGTGAGGTCATTGCAGAACTGATATTGAATTACTTTAATCTGAAGACACAATGTCTTAGTCAGCTACAAATGTGGGGAGAACTTTGTTTTTCCTACCTTTTTTTTTCTGAATGCTGACAAAATTTTACAGAAACGACCAAGAAAACCAATCAACAGTAAAACCAGAGAAAGGCAAACCCCTGCCAGTAACACCTTGACAAACCTCTCTGTTTAGGAAGTGAGGGCTGGTGTTTGTGAAATACTGAACAGATTAAATCTAAATGCAAATAATCCCATTATCCAGTCTCAGGTCAAAATGGAATCCAGTGCAGAACCAGATGCATCTTCCTTTTATGTTCCGTTTCGGAGACTTTTTTGTAGCTTTCATAAAGTTTTATGTTTTATTTTATATGAAGTGTGTATGAGCTAAGACATTTACTCCATTTTCTACCAGGCACCTGTTCAGGTTTTGTTATATCTACATACAAACAACAATATTGTAAAAATGAATTTTGAGCTTTCTAAAGTCATAATATGATTTGCAAAAGAAAATGAAGATGTGAAATTACTAGAAGGTAATATAAATATTAGAATCTCAAGAATCAGCCTAAAAATAGGTGTCTGATACCTATTTATTCTACACATAGAATACACCTATTTATTTTAGAAATATATTCTAAAAGAGTCAATGCAAGAGAGAGCAGTTCATAGTTTTTTACTGTCTCTTTGCAGGTGTGATACTTCTACCTGTCACAATCCTGGGCATGTTTCTAGGAGGCTTCCTGATCAAGAAATTCAAGCTGCACATAACTGAAATGGCCAAGTTTGCCTGCATCACCTTCATAGTGGCATATTTGGTGAACCTGCTGTACTTCACGTGCAGCTGTGAGGTGCTGCAGGTGGCCGGGCTGACAGCGCCCTATTCTGGGTTTGTACCCCTCACCTGGGGCTGCCAGGGGCACTTGGCACAGCTGCTGCTTTGGGGGGGTGCACAGAAAATAATCCCAGGTTTTGAGACGGAATTGTCAGCCTGAAGTCATGCCTGAAGCTGGAGATGGGGAAAATATACCAATTTTATTTTCTGAATTTCTTTAAACTGGACATTTCTTTTTTTCTAAATTCTCTATTTCTTTTTCCTAAATTCTCTGTTTCTGACAACGTACTTATATATTCTGGCAAATTGCTAAAAAAAGATGATATTTATAAGAGGCAAATTAAATTTCTTTCTTCTATTTCAAAGCTTCAATTTAAGGTATTGTGGGAAATGTAGGACTCTGTATAACTGACTAATATGATTAAGCAGAAGTTGTTAATTGTTTATATTATATATATTTTAATAGATTTTATAAACTATTAGGTACATACACTTAATTTTTTTCTTTTTTTGTTTATTCTTTACATTATATATTTTAATAGCTTTTATAAATGAATAAGTATATACTTTTTGATTGGTTTTTTGGAGTTGTATTTGCTTTTTTTGTTTCCATTTCTTGATGGAAACAAGCATTTGTGATTGGTTACAGTTCAGGTGGTTTATATTTTTTTTTGTTATTTAGGTCAAATTAAATTTCTTTCTTCTATTTCAAATCTTCAATTTAAGGTGTTGTGGGAAATTTAGGACTCTTGTATAATTGACTCATATGATTAAGTAGAATTTGTTTATTGTTTACATTTTATATGAAAATAAATAAATATGCCATATAATCTATATATTTTTATAGATTTTATAAACTGGTTGAGTGCAACATCTGATGCCACAGAGTGAATTTTAAAAAAGCATCAACAGCATATCTATATAGAGAGAATATAAAGAGCATTTAGAGTTTCTCCGGAAGAACTGAGTCTGGAGAATTTGGCACATGCCAGGGTTGTTTCTGGTTAAGTGACCCATTTAGTTTTTTACCTATTTAACTTTTTTAACAATTTAACTTTTGAAGAGAAGCAATAGCCTAATGACGGCTAATTCCCTCATTTATCTTCCCTTCTAAGAGACTTAGAGGAAATGTAGCCCACATGAAGTGTGCTTTAGGCTGAGGGAAGGGAGAAGGAGGAAGAAAAGGAAAATTTTGAACATTTTTACCTTATATTTAACCTCACAGCCAGGATGATTTGTGGGCTCCTAACGCTTTCAGGAAAGTGAGCACTGCTAACGTGTGCTTAGAGTGTCCTGATACAGTGACCTGGGTCCAGTGAAAAAATGTCAAGTGCTGTTTTGGTTTCATGTACTTTTTTTTTTACTTTTGCACCCTACCTCTGTCACCTGGATATGGTAGGATATCCTACTGCTGAGGAAATTATGGTTTTTCTTTGGACCATGTAGAATCTCTATTCTAGGTACGATTTTCTTTTTCTTGGGGTGAGCTTTCAAACACAAAAGCAATATTCCCGCCCAGCCTTTTCATTTCCATGCCTTTTCAATCCATAGAAATGTTATTGCTTGATGAAAAATCCCAAGAGAACTTTATTTTAGCTGAAATCACCTTAGTGTCCATATGACAACTTCACAGTGCAGGTATCTGTCCATTTTGATCACTTCACTTTCTCCATGTTTTTCCTGCATGCTCCTTAATATATATAATTTTTTAAAATATAAAATTCCACTAAATAAATTCCTTAATTTCCTCCTGTTGTCCTCCAGAATGAAGCACCTTTCCTCCAGCAAGCACATCTACGTGGCCAGCTGCAATGCTGAGTGCAGCTGCAAGCTGGACCAGTGGGACCCTGTCTGTGGGGACAATGGCATCACATACATGACAGCCTGCTTTGCAGGGTGCAAATCCTCATCTGGGACAGGAAAAAATATGGTAAATATCCAGGGGATAGATGACTCTGCAGCAGGACAAGGAGCAATGGTTTTAAGTTAAAAGAGGGCAGCTTTAGACTAGATATAGGGAAGATATTTTTATCAGCAGCAAAGCCATTTCCAGGACTTCAAATGATCCTGCCTGAGCAAGACTGTTAAAAACACCATGTTTGCAGAATAAGCTTATATCTTCTGGCAGAAGCAGAATTGACTTCACTGACAATACTGAAAAAGACAAGAAGCATTATCAGGCTTGTATTTAAGCATCCCATCAATATTGTCTGGCTTCATTTCAGGAAAATTTTCCTCCAAACCCATGTGTCCTGCTGACTTCAAAGCCCATTATCAACCCAATGCTGTTTAAGAACACGATGATCTATGTGCATGATGAATATTTGGTCCACGTCTCTATTTTTTTCTTGTTGCTGCTGTTACACACCTTCTTCATGGGATACCTGAGTAGGATGGCTGGATGGCAGTTCACATTTGACTTTTTTAGCTTTGACCCACTTTAAACACACACAGAGCACCTTGTGTTCTAGCAGTGGCTGAAATTAGAACTCCTGTTTTGTGTCTCTGGAGCATCTCAGAGAGGCTGGAGCATATCAGTGACCTGGCCATCAGTCTGCAGAGATGATTACAGAGGGTTTTTCAGCATCAACAACAGCCTGGCTGGTGTGGGGAGTAAAAAATCTGGCTGATGAAATGGTTGCTTATTGATCCTGAATTCTGAATAAATAAATTCTTCTTCTCATCTTTTCCTTTCAGGTGTTTCACAACTGCAGCTGTGTGGAAGGACAAGGGCTCAGTGGCAATTCCTCTGCAGTTTTGGGACAATGCCAAAGAGAAAGCTGTGCCAAAGCCTTTCCCTATTTTTTAGCATTACAGACTGCATGTGCATTTGTTTTAGCCTTAGGAGGCACTCCTACATACATGATTATGTTTAGGTGAAATACTTTACCTTACCTTGACCATAAAGCTTGGGAAAAGAGAAACAGAAAATGCTATCTACTATTTCATTCCTGCTATGAGGAATGGCATGTGGATCAAATTGTGCCCCTGAGGATTTATTTACCTGTGATGTGAAATCCAGCTCTTTTCAGAGGCAGAGAAAATATCTGTCCAGAAATTTAATTCTAATTTGATGCAGAGTAGATACTTTGGTGATGAAAGGGGGGGCATTATGCTGATCCTGAATGCTGGGTTTCAATTCCAGGGATAGGGATGTTTTTACCAGAGCATTTGACTTGAAATGAGATGCATTGCTAAGCCATAGCCAGTGCTGTTCACATTATTCAGAGAAAAACAGGTACCTTTGTTAAGCCTTGTGGCCTCACAATATCTTCTGTGTTGGGAGAAGTCTGATACTCCCATTTTTTTGCTCAGCTGACAGAAGCAGAATTATAGCAGGAATATTTTTTTAAATTTTCATTCCTTCAGTTGGAAAGCATTTTACATCCAGAAGAAAAGACAATATTTTATGCCTGTCACATGGAATTGTCTTTATCTTCCTGCTCATGGGTGAATCACAATGGTCACTGTACATGACTAAATAACTTGGCTAAGCTGCTGATTTCCTGCAGTATTTCTAAGTGCAGGGCACACCTGGGTTATGGACAGGTGTGCATAAAAATTGTTGGCTAGTTTTCAGAGCCCTAATTTGTGTGGTGAGAAGCCTTTGGTGGTGATGCTGAAGAGACAACATAGTGGTGTATAAACTACAATACAGGGTGGGCACAGCCAGGCTCCCTCCTTCCCCTGTGCCAGCTCAGAGCTCCCCGCTGGGTTTTGTCAATTCTCCAGCTCACCTGATGGAGACAGGCTGCTTTCCACTGGTAGGAATGAGGTGTTTTACAGCCAGGTCGCTCACATTTGCTGTCTCTCTGTAAAATGCTCGAGGCTGAGGTGGTTAAATCAGCAAGGACTGCACACCCTTGTTCCCTCTGGTCATCACTGCACAGTGCAGCCCCTCATAAAGCCAGGTTTGAGCTTAATTTAGGCCTGAACTGCCTTCTTTTGGTGGGCTCACTTTCATATACCTGTGCACCATCTCCCAGAAGTATTCACAACCTGTTTTCCTTTGGTTCAAGATGCGTTCCTGTAGTTTCTTGCATTTATTTCAGTGGGTGTTGCTCTCTGGAAGAAGGCTGTACATGTGAATTTTAACTTGATTGATTGTGCTGGGTAAGCCACAGTGTTCCTGCAGTGAGGCATGGGCAGGTGTTCTCAGCATGGCTGCAGATCCATTTCTCTGCTCCTCAACACTCTCTTTGTCTCCTTTCCAGATCTGTCTCGCCAGACCTGAAATCCTTTGCTGTTGGGATAGAAGCTTTGGGTGGTAGAGTACTAGGTAAGATTGAATTTCTTTGTGGTTTTCAAGTGGGTTGACAAAGAAGCCAAAGAGGTAGACCAGAGGTAGCCATAGTGGTGCCCTTGCTCCAGAGAAAAACAAAAGAAATTTTCCAAAATTTTTCTTTGTAAGCAGACTATACATTTCAAAATGTTTGGAGGAGCTTACTACATATTTCCTGCTATTTACATATGATGATTACCTAGTATTTACATATTATTATTGTGTATTTACATATTATGATTATCTCTTCAGATTTTTTCTCTACACTGAAAATAAATGAGGCAAAGGAAGGAAATTTCATTTTACTATTGAGCTGCTTTTTTTAAAAATTGTGGACACAGCTACCTGAGCTTGATCAGTCTGCATATCCCTAGCACCCATCCTCCCTTTTGCTCACCATTATTCCCTTAAAGCTCCCATGTACTTTGCCTGTGATTTTGTTTCTTGAGTTTATCTGCAATAAACAATAATTTAATTATTCAGATACATGATCTGCCCTGCATCAAATGAACCTTGCCTCATCTTCCCTTGTTTGCTGATTTTGAAATCTCCGCCTTTCAGAAAAGCCCAAGCAGTCATTTATTTGGATCTCTTTTTCAATGTCCATATTTTACAGAGAATCAATCTTCTGCTTTTGTAGGACAGTTAACTTCAGAAAATTGCACAATCTTCCTCATGGTGATGATATTAAAAAAATTATTGTCTGTCTAAAAGAAATTCTTCCAGTACTACATAAATAGAAAACATATTTCCCAGTTTCTGTGGAGCAAGTGCTTAATTTCATCTCTTTGCACTGCACTAATCCCCTTTTAATGGCAAGACTTGAATATATAAATTAATATACATAAATATTCATATGTCATGGCATGTAATTCCACACCAGGGATTGCAAAAGTTGGTTTTTTTATTTCTTTAAACATAGGAAGTTAAACTTCTAATAAAAATACCATTAAAGGGAATTGCTAATGCTTCCCTTGCTGGATATTATTAAGCTATTGTTTTAAGTCCATTGTTTCAACTCCCTTTAAGTACTTTTACTTAAGTAAATCTTGTAATCTCAAAGCTGGAACTGGATGTTTAGTCCCATTCTATGCAGGCATAATTAAAAACCCTAGAGATTGACTTCCTTGTTTCTTTACATGAGGTTAAATGATGGGATGCCCATGTCTGAGATCATGTAATGAGAATTTTCTTTGCAGGAGGACTCCCAGCCCCTATTTATTTTGGTGCCTTGATAGATGAGACCTGCTTGAAATGGGGGACAAAAAGCTGTGGGGGATCAGGGTCCTGCAGAGTGTACGACACAAAAGAGTTCAGGTAATCCTTTTTGGGGTTTGGGGATCTGGGAGCAGGGACCAGAGTGGACTTTCCTCATGCCAGCTGTCAGAGTAGGGTCTGACAGAACCACTCTTCCTTACTACACCTTAATAGGTAAATAAACGAAATGATTTTTATTCAGTCTGACATCTAAAATTGCAGGGTAATGCCTGAAGTCACGAGAATTAGTTCTTTGGTTGTAGTCTGCATTGAATAATGAATTAAATGCAGTGAGTAACTCTGTGACACTTTGGCTATGTGGGGTGCTGAAAAACTGTGGAGTACATGTAGATCTGCAGATTCTCTCCCTCATCCCTCATTTATTTCCTTCTGATTCTATAAGAAATCTCACAAACTCCACTTGGAGGGAGGGCATGAGTGGCCACAAGGAGCTGGGGAAGGACAGGGACAGCAGGCAAAAAGGCCCAGCAGGTGCAGCTCCTCTTTTGTCAGCCCTAAAACAGAGCCTGCTGGATGGCAGCACACTCCAGACATTTCTGCTGGGAGTCTGACACTTGATTAGAGCCTGTCTGGGGCTAAATATCAAGAGGTCATTTGCTTTCTGCCTGTTATTTCTTATTTTCAAATGTGAAGCAATACCTAGCTGAGAATAGATGGTTTTGTCAAGCTGCTCTTTATAACCTATTTGGTTCCATACAGAATTGGAAAGTTTTATTAATATAATTGCATTTTGTCCCCTTTTCCCCCCCTAGGAATGTGTATCTTGGCCTCGTTGCAGGACTACGGGCAGGATGCTGTCTCTTGTACATAGTGCTCTCTGTTTTAATTATCAAACGCTTCAAACCAGATGGCAAAGAGATGACAGATATTAAAAATGCAGAAATATCAACCAGCAAAGAACCAGAAACTGCCAACAAGAGAGAAATTCTTCCTGGTTCAAGAACCTCAGACGAGAGTGAGGAAACTTATATGTAAAAAAAAACAAAACCCAAGGTCTTGTGTAACTTTGCCAGTGCTCCTGTTTTTCTGAGCACAAAAGGGGTCTAAATACAGACTTCAACAACTAGTTTACATTTTGGGAGTTCAAAAAGTATCTTTGAACATTGGCTTTTTATTTGCTTTACCCTATCTTCTTCCTTTCCTCATCTGAGACAAAAATTAGGGGAAAAGGTGTTCAAAATTTTGGAGAACTCTCCCATCCTCTTGCTCTCAGTCCCTCTCTAGACCAACAGTAGGACAAGCCAAACTTTTGCAATTTTGTCATAAATTTGATTATGCTTGAAAAATTAAGACGAAGAAATCCACAATAAGCTGCTTTGACATTTTTCACTGACTTTATTTCAAGTCCTCTTGCTCTGTATTTAGTCCTACAGCTCTACATGGACAATCAAGTTTCACTTGGGCTTCTCTGATGGCCTTTCATGAGCTGAGCTCCTTGTTCCAGTCTTGGTCCCCTGAGGCATGGCCAGGTGAGACCCCAGGGCTGTCACTGAGCACCCTCAGAACTCAAACTGCACCACAGCTCTGGGGTTTGGCTTGAAAAACAGTCAGAGTGGAGAGGAAATGAAGTTTGCCAATGAAGTTTTGAAGCAAAGTGTGTTCAACAGTCAAAGTGGAAACCAAATGAAGAAAGTGGTGTATGAATTTTTGCAGCACATCTCAGTAATGGGTTTGAGAAAGATTACTCTGAACTGATGCAATAAAGTGATAGGTGTTAAAGTTTCTTTTATTTTTTTTTTTTTTTTGTGTTTGTGTGGACGGGGGGGAGGGCATTTTAAGCCAAAGGACCACTGTATTTGTACCACATAAATACAAATTTCCTTCCTTGTTTAAGGAGTCTTCAATAAACCTTGAAACACAATACTGAATACTTGAAAATTCACAGCTTTCCACAGACAGCCTTGTCCAGATAAAAGCTTTATTAAAGGAAGATCACAACAGTTATTAAAAGAGGAAAGAAATATCTAAAAATATTATTAGTGTGATTTTTTTGTTGACACCTCTCAGGAAGTACCTTTGCAATAGGATCAAACCTACTTAGGAAGATCACTATAGATTTTCTCGCCATCACCACAGACATTTTGGTGGTGATGCTGACAATTTTGCTTTATTTTCTTCTTCCTGCAGTGCTGTACAGAAACCTAAATCTAGGAAGCAAAATTTCTTTCCTAATTTTAAACTTGCTTAAGATATGGAATAGAGATAATGGACATAAAGAAAATCTGCCACACTTTATCTCAGAAAGAGGCAGATCGGTGGGCTAAAGAGAGGGATTCTCTCTATTAAACTATTTTCTGACCTTTCTTCTACCATCTGCCCCAGCTAGGATGGGAAAAGGGTTAGATACTCACTGAAAGGAAGCTCCTCACATCCTGGCCTTTGGGGATGGATTTGATTGCATTTTATTGCTTCAAGACATTGAGCAGCACATGTAGACATTGTTTTTTCCATTGACAGCTCTGATTATAAACTGATTATAAACTCTGATTATAAACTTCTCTAATGCAGAAGATACCAGTAGTGCATCTAGGTCTGGAAATTATTAAAGAAAAATCCAAGTTCCAGAAACCTCAGGAACTGTACACAGAGAAAATAATGGTGTGTCATTCTCCTTCTGAAAGGAGAATTTTAACATTGAATAAATGCCCTGGCAGCTCTAGAAACACTCCTGATCTACGCCAGACACAGAGTCAGTCAGGTGACTCATACTAACATCATTTCCCTTTACTTCTGTTGTTTGGGTATTTATTTCTGTACTCTGAGTTTTGGGGTATTTTTTGTTGTTGTTGTTGTGGGGTTTTTTTATATTATAGGGTGTTTTTTGATGGAAGCATCTTGATTTTTCCAGGAGGTAATGTTTCAGCAAAGGTGCTTTGATAATTGATGTCAGACTGGAAATGAGATTCTGGTCAGATCTGATGATTCATGCTCAGATATTTACCCCAGATGAAACTTTGAAAAGTGAGGTTTTTCAAACAAATAAGAATTAAGATCATTCTTCATAACAGTCCTGAATTCATAGTAGCACAAACCCTGCACAGGCAGGAAGTTTAAATGAGCCTCTCACTCAGTATTCTGACAAATCCAATGCTGTTTTTCCAACATATTCTGGTTTTTGAGTGCAAATCCAGCACTCTCCTGTGAACAAAAGGTAGAAGTTTCTTCAAGGGAACAGCTTGTATTTCAACAACCAGCTAATACAGAACATGAAAAAATTAAATAGGTGATCAACCAAGTGGAATTTTTCGAAAAGTTTTTTATCTCCTTGCTTCTCACACCAGAGAAGAAGTAAAGACACCCTCCCTTCTAATTCCTCCTACTCCAAAGGCCAGCCTGAGAGGCAGAGGGGACCGTGAGGCTCTGGTTTCATTGCAAAATCACATTACTCTGGACTCTGGGATCAAAACTGGCATCTTTGTCCTATGTCTGAGCTCCCTCACTGGGAAGATCCTCCAGGAAAAAAGAAAAACCTGTTGTTTTCCAGGTTCATAAGAGAAATTGTTAACCAAGAAAGCCATTTTGGAGGCAAATTTGCAACTCTACCAAGGCAGGTGTGCTTTCAAATACAGACTACAAACATACAGTTTAGGGATCATTATATAGAAATCATGCTAAGTCCAGTGAAATAAAAATAAACAAATAAAAAAGGCAGTGAGTTTTCATTGGACTGTGGGAGATTTAAGGGCATGAGCCTTCTGTTTACCCAACTCTCCCTTGAGGATATCAAAAAGCTCTTTAATGGCATTTTCAAAGTCCTTCTGCCAGAATAACTACACAAAACAGGAGACAGCTCAGTTATCTGGCATTTCTTTGCTTTTAAATACACAATTGAGCAGACATAATGACCTATGACTACCTGGTTTTGTGATGTTTTCTAGCTGTTTATAAAAAAATAGAAAAAACCCCAGCATCCCTAAACCCACAGTTTTCTGTATGCATTAGGATCATGTACCCTATAAAAACCAAGCCTTCCTATGGCCTTTGTGTCCCCATTATCAACAACTCCTGTCTATCCTGGCACTAAAATAAATTGGGAATAAAGTACTAGTTGCAGAATAATCAGAAAATACCTCAGGCTGTCAACTTAAATTTAAAGCATCCAAAATGTTTTTATAACATAGGTAACATCAGATTTAGTCTACCAGTTTTCACTGTGGAGTATATTGTCATTTTGCCTTCAAGTTTGAAATATGCTGAAAGATTTTCCAGCTGAAACTCTTAATAAAGATCTGAAAAATGTGATTCTTTTTCCAGTGTTACTTTCTATTTAATGAATGTATTTATTCTGAAGTACATAAACATAACTAAATCAGAGTTCAAGCTGAGGGTTGTTTTGCAAAGGGATTAAGTGTTGGTTTGTTTTTTTTTAGTGAGGTGTGCTAAACATGCAGTAATGTGATTGCCCCTTTTAGTGAAAAACTAAGCAAGTCTTGAGTGATTGAGAATACCAGAAAGCAACAGGTCATCAGATTTCTGCAGATCAGTTTAATAAACTGAGTAATTGTATATATATGTAATTGAATTTGAATTGTATATATTGTACATATATATAATTGAACTTTATAAAGAGTAATTGAACTTTAATAAGATATTGTTACAGGAGAAATGCAGGTCTTTACAAAATATTCTGTTGGAATCCTTGAGATTTTCTCAGAAAAACAAATTGCATTTTGCAGGAAAAAACCCTGGGAAATATTACTGAAATTCTCATAACAGATCTGCATTTTAAACCAGAGATATTCTGAGGCAGTGACTGTCAAACCTAAATAATTCCTCTCCTCAGCTGTGTCTCACAATAAGGCATTTCTATAAATGCAGCATTTCCTTCTTTGAAGTCCGCAGGCAGGAAATAATCAGAAGAGTTTCACGTTTCTCGGTAGGAAATATTGCTGCCAAATGAATGAGTGCTCTTGTTATCTGCAAAAACCATAAATGACTGAATCTCAATGGAATGCATATTTATTTTAATATCATCTTATCACTGGAACACTGATGTTCCATATTATTACCTCTAAAATTAGTATTACACTGGGTCACATCATCACAGATTTTGTGCTGAGTCCTGCCTTAGCTGACAAGATCAAAGAAACCTGAGATATTACCCTTGTACTAAAAACAGGTTATAGTAATTATAATAATAATGATAATGACAATATTATGATCTGAAATACCTCAGAGGCCCTGCCAGGTTTTCTATATTGATTGCTTCAACATTTTTCTTAAAGCAATAGTACATGAGTTGCAAACCATCTCCTAAATACAACACATAAATAGATTTCTAAATAAAATTTTATTCGTCACAAGGTATATGAATCACAAGATTATAATGGCCAAATAGAATGTTATTCCAGATCTATATATGCTATTATATAATACAGATAAAATAATAGATATAATATATATTATATATAACCTGTGTATTATAATAAATATACTAGATATTATATCAAATGATTATGTAATATAGAATTGTTTTATATTTTATTTATTGTTATGTTCTGTATATTTATACATTGTTGTAATATTATATGTTATAAATGATAGGTATATTTTTATATTGTAATTGTTATATGTTTTATAATTTATAGTTATAATTGCTTATGTAAAATATAAATGTTATTGTAATATACAATTGTCATATATTTTATATATTGTTATCTATTTATATATTTTATAATATTGTATATTAAAAAATATATATAAATAAATACTTTGGTTTACTGTTTTATGTTATAAATTATATATATAATGTTTATATATTCTTATATTTGTTATATGCTTTATGGTTTTTATATATAAATATAATTGCTTATGCGAAATATAAATGTTTATGTAATATATAATTGTTATAAATTTATATGTTGTTATACTGTTATACATTTATATATTGTTATAATATGGTATATTATAAATTATATGTATAAATACTTGGTTAAAATATTATATATTATAAATTATATATGCATGTTTATTTTTATATATTGTTATAATTATTATATGTTTTATAATTCTTATACATACATATAATTGTTTATGTACTATATAAAAGTTTATGTAATATATAATTGCTATTTCCAGCTCAGTTTTTCTCTCTTCTCTGACTCCATAGTGTTGATGGAGACCTAAGAGCTGAAGACACAAATGGAAAGTTTGGTGGAAATATCATGATTTCTACTTTTGGGTTTTGTTTTTTTTTCCTATAGACCCCAGAAGAAATCCTCTGAGATAAAAACTGAGGAGCAGAAAGGAACACAAATAGGTGATGCTGATCACTGCAGAGGGTAAGTGGCAGCAATTTAGAAAGAAGTGATCACAAGCAGAGCAGTAATTCCTTAGCAGGATTTTCCCTTCAAGCTGCACCGTGCAGGAACTCACTCCAGCACCAACACAAACAACCCTGCAGTCCCTCCCCAGGGGGGTTCCCTTTTTTTGAATCAGCTGGCCTGCATAATTGGGAGATTTTCATTATTAATACCAAATTTTGGGCCAATTTAGTCTCGTTACTCTTATCAGTTCTATTCCTTGGATTTCCAGTCCTTTTTCCTTGCTCTCTTAATTTGGCTTTCAAAATAACACCTGAGAGTTGACGTCTTGCAGAGACTGCCCACGTGTGCTCTCTGCCCTGATTTAATAACTGTTTTCACCATTTCATCTGTTTTTAGA